CATGTCTTCGGCGGCTATGCCAGGAGACGGGAGAAGAGCTCTCCTTGGCTCGAATAATGAACATTTGCTCCCCCAAGATTTTCCGTGGGGGAGTAATAAACATTAGCAAACATGGTCACCATGCTTTGCTCACCAGCATTGATGATGACAATGACCGTAGATGGATGGAGCAATTTGTTATAGTTGCCACCAGGGACATCATCCCGGCCACAACTCTATATTTGCCTGAGTCATGGACTCGTACACGTAAGTTCAACGCCTGTCTTTTCTCTGATTAAAGGTCATTTCATGATGTTATTGATCCTTATCTTTTCATTATTTCTCTGATTAAAGGCTTGGACCAGTGGGTCCAGAAGATTTTTGATATTACCACGCCTGAGACCTGCCGGTGGAAAGAACTGGCCCTTAAATATGGGTGGAATGCCAAAAATCATCGTAAGTTGATTCTCGAACTAATCTTGTTTTTACCTCACATATAAGAAAATTGATTAACTTCTCTTTCCGTTGAATTTAGGTCTTCCGTAGGGCTCTGTTACCGTCCCCGAGGAGGACGTTTTGGCTTATCCAGCAGATGCGGTGAGGTTGATGCAGGAGACTTTCACCTGAATGGGTGCCATCGGACCTGCTTCCGGTGCAGGTGCTTCCTCTCGGAGTCTCCGTCCGGAAAACAAGCAACAAAAAAGGTGACGTTCCTCTACGGGCTGGGGTAAAAATAAAAGGGTGAAGAACGCCGCACCCGAGCTAGCTGTAGCCACTGTGGTGATTGATAATGATGGGGAAGGTAGTGATGAAGGGGCTTCCCTATAGAGGAGACGACGACCTTCATCAGCTCAAGAGAATGCTCAATCTGAAGAGCTAATAACACCAATTGAGGACGACGTCCAAGCGCTTTGGGGAGAGTGGGATATAGTAGAGGATGCCAATTCTCGCTTCTGAGCCCCGTTTGCTGCTCCCGCTACTATAAGGCTGGGTACAAGGCCTCTTCCATCTTTGGTTGATGAGCAACCAATAACTAGCATTGCTTTTGTCGTATCTAGTTCTCAACCCACAACTCCATCAACTTCATCTCCTTCTTTGGTAGCCATGCCTTCACCACCACCTATTTATTCTGGCGCTAGCATTTGAAGTACTTGATTAACTATCAAATGATAAAACAAATTCATCGTTTGGACAAGAAACAAGATAAAAATAAATGGACTTTACTTCATTCCATCCATTTTCAAAAGTACAAAAGCATTTGTTGTGCTGAAAAGAAAATTGCCATTACTTGTGGCTAACATGTACAACTTGTTTCTACGGGGCTGGTCGTGCAATCCCTGGTCCCGATGATACATCTTTGTTCCCAGATTTCGTAGTCCCGTTTTATGTCGTAGTCAGGTTGCCGTATTCGCATATCATTACCCTCTAGTGTTCGAATGCGAAGAATGCGAATTGGAATACTGGAAGTCTTGCTTCTTTGAAGATCCCACTAGTGAATGGTTGTATAATCTTTGGTTCGATCGCTAGCTTTATTTCTCCGTTAGGAACTTTGCTTTAGAGAAAAAGATTACCTAACCACCCCACAATGGCTTGCACTCATGAATGGTCGGGTAACCATTGGTCCGATAGCAAACTCTATTTCTCTTTAGGAACTTTGATATCAAGGAAACGATTATCTAACCGTCCTATAGTGGTTCATTGTTTCCACGCCTTGTCGTTTAAAGGTCTTATTTGTGCTGATGATGCTTCCTTCGTAGTATGCTTCCACGTCGTACCCATCTTTCCTGCGTTGAGCTCTCGGGTATTTTGAGTCACTTTCCTTAAAACCAAGTCTCCCACTTTGAAATAACGGAGATTGGCTCTTCGATTATAATATATTTCTATTCTTTGTTTATGGGCCGCCATCCTTATATGCACCAAGTCCCTACGTTCATCGAGTAGCTCCAATCTGACCAATAATGCTTCATTTTTTGCTTCTTCGTCGGCCCGAAAGTATCTCATGGGAGGTTCTCCCACTTCCACCGGGATCAGGACTTCTGCTCTATATACGAGAGAGAAAGGCGTCTCTCTCGTGCTTCATTTGGCCATTGTTCGATAGGCCCATAGCAATCTTGGTAACTCTTCGGACCATTTGCCTTTGGCTGCTTCCAATCTCTTTTTTAGATTTTGAAAATCACTTTGTTTGTCGATTCCCCTTGGCCGTTTGCGCTCGGATGGTATGGAGAATATGTGATTCTTTTGATTTTCAAGTCTTCAAGGAATATTGTGACATTTGTGCTTATAAATTGTGGCTAGTTGTGGCAGGCTATCTCTTTTGGTATCCCGAACCTGCAAATTATGTTCTCCCATAAGAAATCGACCACTTCGTGCTCGCCTATTTTTTGGTATGGACGTGCTTCAACCCACATAGAAAATTAATCAGTTAAAATCAAAATAAACCTTACTTTACCGTGAGCCGGCTAGTTGTGGCAGGCTATCTCTATGTCCATCCCCCATTTCATGAATGGCCAGGGCGACAATATCGAATGTAATATTTCTACTGGTTGATGCACTAACGGCGCATGGTGTTGACACTTGTCGCTTTTCTGAACAAACGTCTTAGCAACTTGTTTCATCCGGGGCGAATAGTATCCTACCCTAATAAGCTTTAATACCAATGATTTCGTGCCCAAGTGATTTCCACAAATTCCTTCATGAACTTCTGTCATGACGTAATTTGCCTCTGAGGTTCCCAAACATCGGGAAAACAAGCCTTGGAAAGACTTTCTATACAATTGGCCTCCCCTGAAGCAGTAACGGGCTGCTTTAGCGCATAGCACCCGGTATGGATGCCTTTGGATCTTCGGGTAGTTTTCCATGCTCAAGATAGTTAATGATCTCATTTCTCCAGTCCCATGCCAAAATGGTCGCATTTACTTCATAATAATCGTCTACATCCAATACCCAATGCATAAGATGCACAACCGTACCGAAGTCTGATCCCTTCATTTTTGTGGACAAGCCCAGATTGGCCTATGCTTCTGCTTCCCCGTTTTCTTCTCTCAGGATGTGGGTGATTGACCATTCCCTGAACCGTGCGAGCAGAGTCTGGACTTTCACTACATATTGTTGCAAGCGTTCCTCTTTGGTGTCGAAGATCCCGTATACCTGATTTACTACCAGTTGGGAATCACATTTGATTTTTATGACCTCATAGTCCAGTCCCTGGGACAGCTCAAGTCCTGCAATCGAAGCCTCATACTCATCTTCATTGTTAGTCAAGGGAATAGTTTTTATGGCCTGCCTCAGAGTTTTTCCCGAGGGCGTGATTGGCACTACCCCGAGCCCGGACCCTTTCACGTTGAAAGCTCCATCCGTGAACAAGTTCTAGACTCCCGGTGTCATTTCTTACACCATCACTACTTCCTTGGTGGACAAAGGCAGCATTCCCGGACTGAAATCGGCCACGAAGTCGGCCAAAACTTGCGATTTGATCGCAGTCGTGGGCTTATACTCTATGTCAAATTCACTCATTTTTACTGCCCATTTGGCCAGTCGACCTGGCAATTCAGGTTTGTGAAGGATATTCTGCAGGGAAAGGTTGTCACCACGGCTATCAGGTGGCATTGAAAAAGGCCTAAGCTTCTGAACGGCGACTACGAGAGTTAAGGCCAATTTTTCGAGGTGTGGGTAGCGAGTTTTAGCTCCTGTTAAAATTTTACTAAAATAATAGATAGGAGATTCCGTACCTTTATCTTCACGGACTAAAATAGTACTTACTTCTACTTCCGGGGCTGCTAAGTAAATCAATAATTGTTCGTCTTCCTCCGGTTTCGATAGTAACAGAGGGCTCGATAAATACCTTTTCAAATCTTTCAAAGCCTGATGCCATTTCGGAGTCCATTCAAAGTTGTTATTCTTTTTTAGAAGTGAGAAGAAGTGATGACATTTTTCTGAAGACCACGAAATGAACGTTCATAAAGCGGCCAGATCCCTGTTAACCTCTGAACCTCTTTCACATTTGATAGCTGGTCGGGAATGTCCTCGATGGCTGTAAATTTATCGGGATTGACATTTATCCCCCTTTGTGACACCAGGAACCCGAAGAACTTAACGGAGCAGACTCCGAATGCACACTTTTCGGGGTTAAGCTTCATGTTGTGCTTCCTTAGGATGTCAAAGTTTTCTTGGAGGTTTTTAAGATGATCACATGCGTTCAAAGACTTAACCAGCATGTCATCTATGTAAACTTCCATTGTTTTCCCTATTTGTTTTTCAAACATTTTGTTCACAAGCCTCTATTAAGTGGCTCCGGCGTTCTTAAGCCTGAAAGGCATCACATTGTAGCAATATGTGCCAAAGTTCGTTATGAACGAAATCTTTTCATGATCCTCCGGGTTCATTTTGATTTGGTTGTACTCGGAATAGGCGTCGAGGAAACTCATCAACTCGTGCCCGACCGTCGCATCAATCATTTGATCAATATTTGGCAATGGGAACGAGTCTTTTGGGCACACCTTATTTAGATCCTTATAATCTACTCACGTGGGAAATTTATTATTCTATTTCGGAACTACTACTACGTTAGCTAACTAGTCGGGGTACTTTACCTCCCGTATTGAATCGATATCAAGCAATCGAGTTACCTCTTCTTTGACAAACCTGTTTCAGACCTCGGCAATAGGGTTTAATCCTGTCCCCAAGTGGAACTTCCTTTCCAAGAATTTCTCAAACAATGCGAGTTGTTCAAGTTCTTCCGCTGTGGATTTGGTTGCGTCCGTTTCTTCTGGTACCTGGAAATACCTTGGCACCTGATAGGATTTCGATGACTCCCCTCCTTTGTCGACTTCAATTGGCAACTCCCCTCCTTTGTCAACTTCAATTGGCGACTCCCATCCTTTGTTGACTTCAATTAGAGACTCTCCTCCTTTGTCGACATCATTTGTCTGGGGAGCAGGCATCATTTCCTATAATTGCTATATCGCATGTTCCTTCCCTTTGATACTGGAAACCGAGATCACTTTCATCTCCCTTGCCACCGGTTAATCTCCTCTTATTTTTTTAATCCCCTCTGGAGTTGGGAATTTGAGAAATTCATGGTATGTTGATGACATAGCCTTCATCTCGTGTAGCCATGGTCTTCCAAGAATAATGTTGTAGCCCATATTGTCGTCTACTACTTCAAACAAGGTCGTCTTCATTATCCCTTCGGCATTCGTTGGCAGTAGAATCTCCCCTCGGGTTGTCATGCTTGCTAAGTTGAACCCGGCGAAGAGTTTTGTGGCCAGAATGATGCTTCCGGTTAGCTTTGTTTGTTCTAGCACTCTCAATTGGATAATATTGCCTGAACTCCCTGGGTTCACCAAAACACGTTTAATTTTAAAATCTAAAACATTAAGAGACATTACCAAGGCATCATTGTGTGGTAGTATGAGTCCATCTGCGTCCTCCTCCATGAAGGTGATATCATCTTCGGCTACTTCCCAGAGTCTCTTGCTATGGGTCACCGATACCTTTGTCTTTTTTGCTACCAAAAAGGTTACACCATTAATCTCGTTCCATCTGAAAATCATGTTGATCGTTAGACGAGGAGGATCTTTTCCTTCTTTTGAGGGTTCCGCATTGTACCGGTTACAGCCATAGTTATTCTTAGCCCGGTCTCTTAAGAACACTCTGAGATAGCCATTTTTCAACAATGTCGCTACCTCTTCGCGCAGATGTCGGCAGTCCCTAGTCCGATGGTCGTTCATCCCATGATACTCACACCATAGATTAGGATCCTTATGACTAGGGTCGGATAGCATCATCCTCGGGAATCATGCTTCCTTAATGTTCCTCATCGCTGATACCAGTTCCACTACGCTAGCATTGAAGTTATACTCAGACAATCTGGGGTAGGTAGAATCCCGGGAGCCCGATACCTCTTTGTCCTACAACGATCTATTATTCCACCCACGATCAGCTCTCTTATCGGTAGCGAACCTATCCGCCAACCAGAAACCTCTGTCGCATCCTTCGGCACTTTCGTACGGAAACAATTGACCTTTAGAAGATCGCTGATCTGCGTCGAGTCATCCTTGAACTTTTCCTTATCCTTATCTCGGTCCTGACTCTTGGTTGATGCCGGGAAACCAAGTTGGTCATCCTCCATTCTTATCTTTGATTCGTAGCGGTTGTGGACATCTGCCCATGTTGTTGCCTAGAACTCGTGCAAACTTTCTTTCAATTTTTGGAAAGCATCAGAACTCCTTGGATTCAGCCCTTTAGTAAATGCCTCAGATGCCCATTTATCTACCACGGCCGGTAGTAGCATCCTTTTCCTTCTGAAATCTGGTCACAAACTGTCGCAGCAATTCGGACTCTCCTTGGGCAATTCTAAATATGTTGGCCTTTCGGGCCTGTACCTTCCTAGCCCTGCATGGTCCTTGATAAAAGAATCTGCGAGCATCTCAAAAGAATCTATTTAGTGCTCGGGTAGAAGTGAATACCATGTCAGGGCCCCCTTTGTGAGGGTCTCCCCTAACTTCTTCAGCAAGACTGACTCAATCTCATGCGGAGCTAAGTCATTTTTTTTCACCGCCATTGTGTAGGTGGTAATCCGAAGTCCCATCATATTTTGGCACGTCTAGAATTTTGAACTACTTCTGGATTAACTCTGGTTCCACACTCGATTTGAATGGCAACTTGGTGTACTTCTTTGAGTCTGGTCCTTTCAACACTGGCGGTGCGCCCGAGATTTGATCAATTCGGGCATTTATTTCCCTCACAAACCGCATGAGTTTGTTTTAAAAGTATAATTCCCGTTATTGTTAGCAGATTCGTTGTCATTCCCCCCAGCCCCATTGAAGCTGACCTCACCCCTCGAGGTATTGTTATCAACCTTTTGTACTATTTAGTTTGCGGGAGCACCGAGAGGAACCAGACCTCTTCCATTCGCGTTGTTGGAAGCACCCGACAATGCTTGCTTCAACTCTGTCATGACCTGATCTTGTCGTGACAGATGGCCCAAAATAGCCTTTTGTTGCTCCCTTAGGATTCTCGCTATTTCCAAAACATGCTTGTCTTTGGCATCATCAGGAGTTGCCTCTCTAGCGTGTCGTGGATATTGCCACCATGGACCGGCATAGCTATGTCTTCCTCGTTGTGGGTATCACTGATCGAATCTTTGTGTCAAGGCATATTTCCTTCTGCCTCAAAATTGTGTGTAATTTTGACATCGTTATCTACCATTTTCTTACAATTTGTTGCTAAGAAACAAAAAATTAAACATGTTAGTAATAAATGCAAGGATCAACTCAATTACGCAATTGTCTAAGCCCCACTGTGGGCGCCAAACTGTTTACCCGTCAAACGGTACAGTTGAATTTGTATGTGGTTTATAGACAAGCGAATTTATTTGATCCCAAAATAATAAGTAAATTAATTTAAAATACAAGACTTAGCATTGAAATCAAGATAAGACAGCAAATAGCTTGGTTCCGAGAGACGAGCTTCTGAAGGTAGCAATAAGAATATCAATAGACAAAAAATAAAATGTTATTGATCTTAGTATAATGTGTAGCATATGTTTTTCAGAAAATTCGTGTCCTTACAGTGGCTGTTGAAATCACTATTTATAGTTGCACCTAGGGAACAAGGTCCTAGGATCAAGCCCCTCTTAAATGACAATTATGGAGGCCATTGAAGAATGTGTAACGGCAGGCTATGAATGCCATAATTCTCTATAATGGACTATATATTCAATATTGCAGAATATTCTTCATTGAATACTATCGGGTGGCAGGCATTTGTTTGTCTTCTTTAGCAATATTCCCTTCGGGGGGCTTTCCGGTGCCATCCGAAGTTGCTGCCCCCGCTCTTGGTTTCCACCTATCTCACTTTCCGTCTGTCTCTGGTTCCACGTGTCGCCCTATTATATGAGTATTTAATATGAACCAATTTTACCATGTACAACAATATATATATATAATCCAAACAATCAACGATCCAATGTTTATAACTTGTCTAAAACCAAAGCCTAAAGATGTAACACTATAACTAGCTAATCTACTAAAGCTAACTTTTACAAGTGGAAAAGAAGACAACTTCCAATATATGGTGGTGTGTGTATCCACAAGCCAAGGGGCAAACCTCAATGTAGCACCTCTAAAGCTCTCACCAGGGGCAAAGTTTTGCATTCTAATGGACAAAGCAAATGTGAATCTCCAAGCAACACCATCAACTTCTAAAACTATCCAACCATCCAAGTAGCATGAATGTGCAATATATGTGGGCTTGAACATCAAATTCATGGGCGTGAAGATGTAGCATGACTGTTTTTTCTTTTTCGTATCAATGAGTGACTCCCAAGTAGCCCAAGAAACACATGAAGACAGGTTTGGAGAGTGTACCAAAAGCTGCTAGTAATAACCTGCAATGTATACCAGTGCCTGCATTTCAATCCAAAGTCAGGCACTGCCATCACACCTCCAGAATGGGCCTGTAACCACACCAATACCACTGAAAAATGCCATGACAATACCTAGCAAAACACGACTAGTCACAAGAACCCCTACTGCCATTGTATCCCAGATTAAACTTGCAATTTGAATCTTTAGATACCACTGATAAACATGACTGCTATATGCAACCTGAATGCAATTCTTATAATCAAACTTGTAGATGCATGATACTTACCAAGATGCATACCAATAATTAGACACTAATACACCTTGTGATCTTTGATAAACATCAATCAACTACCTGCTTGCCATAATAGATCCATATATCATTAGATCACCACCAGAATGAGCATGATACCATGTTATTACCATTGGAAAGCAACCTAGAAATATACAAAATACAAGAATAACAAAGGAACAAGCAACAACAGACATTGTAATCAAATACCTACTCATCAATAAGGTGCTCTTCTTTTGGCAACCCTAACCCTAAGGTTAGGAGTTTGAGACTTGTCAAGGTTGATTAGTCTCCTTCCTGCACTTGGCATTTCAGAGAAAGAGTGAAACTGGATTGTACCTGCAAAAGAGAAAACAAGGTTAGCCAAAATATCCGCTACTGCATTGCCCTCCCTGAACACATGTTGAAAGATCACATTGAAGTAATCTCTCATCTCCTTAGTCTTTTTGACTTTTTCCACTATGCGCCAAGGAGGATATCACTCCCCTTCAATTACCTTCTTCAACACCAATGAATCAGTATCAAAGATGAGAGGATATAGATCATGAGCAACACAGTATTCCAATCCCTCTACTATAGTCTTTGCCTCAGCTACAACATTAGTAGTTTCCCTAACTCCACTGCTGTTGCATACACTAAATCTCCTGCATCATATCTCACACAAAAGCCATGTGATCTAGGTCCAGGGTTGCCCCTTGAGGCACCATTAGTGTTACACTTGTACCATCCCTCACAAGGGAACTGCCAGGTGACTCTATTGGTGATAACATAAGGCTTGTAGCCTTTAAAAAACTGGATCATGTGTGGCCAGAGAAGAGGAATATGTGGTAACCATGGATACCTCACCTTTTCCAAATAATATAATGTCATGTTCACCTCATGGATCAATCTATTAAAGGAAACTGAACCTCCATTCCTAATAACATTACTCCTCTTCCATAACTCCCAAGTTATAATAGCTAGAACTGCCTGAAATAGTGTCTTCAACTTTGGAAAATAAAGTAAGTTAATCATGTTACCGTGGAGATTTTAAAAATATTTAAGATCATGAATAACAAGTACTAAGAGTGTTGGAAGGCTTAGATGCAAGGCCCCATCAAAATTTTACCAAGGAATTTAAGGTGTTGGGGTGCCGAGGTAGACTAATATGTGCGAAGGTTGAAGATAATTAAAGCTGGCTCGCCGCAGCACAGACTTTTTGGGTTGAAGAATGCATTGAGGAGTTGGTGGAAACTTTTGGCAGGAGAAGGCAATTATGTGGTTAGTTTCGCGACCGCAGATCCGTTCCGCGGGCCGCATATCCATCGCGGAGTTGATCAGAAAATTTGTTGAATTTTGAAGGTCATTTTGTGGTCCATTATGCGATCGCATATCCGTTTCGCGGTCTGCACTTTCGTCGTAGAGTTAGCATGAAGAATTTTGAAGGGTGATTCTGTGGTCCATTTCACAGCCGCATAACTAGTTTGCGGATCGCAGACCTGCCGCAGACTTGTCTAGACTAGCCCAGTTTTTGGGGTTTATTGTTGGGGTCCATTTTGCGGGTTGTATACCTATTCTGCGGTCCACTCTGCGGTCGCAAAGTTGAGTTCGGAGGGTCTATTTTCTATTTTTATAACCCGACCCCATTTCTTATAAAATGAGTTTGGGGTTATTTTGGCCGGGTTAAACATATATTTTAGAGAGAGGGGAGTGCTTTAGAGAGAGAATAAGGAGCCCCAAGTTCATTGATCATCAATCCCTGCCCCAATCTTAGAGATTTAAGGGAATCATTCACTAGACCATTATCTACCCGGGTAAGACCTTGTCCTAAAACCTGCATGCAATTGTTATGGGTTTAATTAGGTTATGGAGTTGGGGATAGGCCATGCATGTAACATTAGGTGGTAGTAGGTGGGATTGTTTTACTATTTTGGGTAGTTTCTTGCAAAAATTGGTTGAAGGAGGAAGGGATTACCATTGTAGAGCTTCATAGTCGATTTTGCATAATAGGTGTTTGACAAAATTCCTAAGAGAGTTACACCATGAGAATCCTTCTAATTATTATCTGATTTTCGCTATCTTCCTATAGATTGATATTTCTAGAAGTGTTGGGACGTTGTAGTAACTTGAGGAAAGCTCAAGCAAGGTA